CAGTAGCAACAAAATATTCAAGTATGTTGGCGTAGGCTGGGAGAACAGCCAGAAACGGTGTTCAAAGGTGCTCTGGACCAAGCACTCCCAGGTTTCCAGGCAATCTCCGAGCTCACGCAATGACACCTCCAGACCCGTACAGCGCGCAGCACCAGCCCTCGCACGCACAAGCTCTCCCAGACAGTCTCCAGGCAGCCGGAAATCAAACACGGAATAGCACCAGTCACAACCGTCAGAGAACGTTAATCAGAAACGTCACTTGTCTTTTTTTTCCCCCTCAGCCTAGACGTGACCGTTTCAGCGTGTTAAAGGGATAAACGCCATAGCCACAAACAGCTCTTGCCAAGACTGGCGTATGAGCATCGAAACAGTGATAATAACAAAAACATCATTCCTCTTTAAGGCTAAACCATCTAAAAACGGCCCCCATGTTCTTGCTGACTTGGGATTTTACCACGAAGTTGCACAACACCGAGCGGTCGACAACACGTTTAACCAGCGCCAAGACTCGGCAGAAATGCGTACTGCCAAGAGGTAGGTTTTGAGCTGAGTCGCTGAACTTTGCCACTTTTTTTCAATCACTTTGTATTCCTATCAATTAATGACAACTTTCTCAAATACTTATATATTTGTGTCTACTAATTATTCGATTTCTAGTCACGTGACTAGTACTTTGGGGAAAAAAAATCTTTTTTTCTTCTAAATGGAAACTACTGCTCAAAATAAGTGAGATTCCCGTGCAAGTTACTTGGGAATGCTGGGTGCCTCACATGAAGCACCTGCAGTTTTCAGCAGTTTCAAGCAAGAAACAGGTGGCCTGCACCCAGCTGCTCATGCAGGGACAGACAGCTGCTGTATGGCTAAGGCCTTGGCTCTCTCCACACAAGGAATGCGGAATATTTCACACATTGGGCTGGAGCAGATTTAAAGTTGCAGGAGAGACCTGGACAGTGCTCAGTCCCTTTGCTGTGATCCAGGAAAACTACCAGGTGACAACCCATGAGGGTTGGGTGTTTTTCGGAAGGCTTTCATGGACCAAATCTCTAGGCCTGTAAGGACTAGTGACAGGACAAGGGGTAACAAGTTTAAGTTGAAAGGGGGGAGGTTTAGATTGGATATCAGGAAGAAGTTCTTCCCAGAGAGGGTGGTGAAGCACTGGGACAGGTTACCCAGAGAAGCTGTGGATGCCCCATCCCTGGAAGTGTCCAAGGCCAGGCTGGATGAGGCTTGGAGCAACCTGGTCTCGTGGAAGGTGTCCCTGCCCATGGCAGGGGGGTTGGAACTGGATGGACTTTAAGGGCCCTTCCAACCCAAACCAGTCTGTGACTCTATAAAATCTTGCTGCTCCTACATATAAAGTTAAACCCGCAGGGTCTGCCCTTTTTGTTGTTGGTTTGGTTTTTTTTTTTTAACAGTACTCATTTCACCTTCAAAAGAGGAAGCGGGTGTTTCCATTTTTAGTCTGAAATCCTTTGAACTATTCCTGTTCCATAGAACAGGGATCTGGATAGAATTGGACAAAAAATTAATTCCTTACTTTAGGTTTGGTTTCAGCAATAAAGAAGTTAACGAGACCCCATCTGGTTTTGTCCATACACTACAGCAGTCCGCTGGAAACAGCACCATTCGCCTACAGACTTTTCTTTTATTCCAAACACAACCTAACCCAGCTGCAGTAAGTGTTCTTAAACACATCCATCGCCATGCCGCCACATGAGCCAATTAGCAACCGCTGCCGTGACGTTACTCACCCGTAGCTACAATTAAGAGTTGCTTGCAGTTTCACAACAAACAGCTATGTAATAATCACACGGACCTTAAAAAACACTTTCTTAGGCATACGACAGAATGAAAAAACCTCCTAAGAAACACCCCCCAAACTTCATTCCACAAGTAACGTTTGAATACTGACACATCTGGAACAGCTGGGTAACAAGTTGTGCGTGTCAAGTTCAGAAGGCAGCTGCTTTTAGCCATCATTTTGGGCCAGACATTTGCTTTCAGCCACCACTATATTCCATTTTATTTTGTAGCAGCTTCTTCAGTGTTCCCATATGGACAAGGTAAACAGCTCCAAGAATACAACAGCAAGTATATATAATGTTCTTTAGAAGAAATGAAGGCCAGATGTTGCTCTGTTATCTTCACGTGCATCCTTAAAAAAGTTAAATTAAGCTGTTGCAGATATTTTATTAATGCCAGGTATAGGCAATTTGTTCACTGGCCATTTAAATGTCAACTTTCCAAAGGATGGAAAATAACATTTTAACTGAGGAACCAAACTGAAATAAGATTAAACTACCCCAGAGCAATTTAAGAAAATAAGTATAGCAATATCCAGAATCA